CAGGTGAAATATGAACATAATCACATCCTAATCCTTAAACAATGACTTTTTACATACAAAACTAGTCTCCTGGGTCTTTTACTGAAATTGGAAGACATTGAATTGTGTTTATGCCTTCTTAAAATGTGACTGAATATTGTTTTCAGCCCAACAGTGGTTTCTTTTATCAGTAACAGTTTTTAAAAACGTGTGGTTCATTGGTGTCCTAAATCTTAAATTTCCCTTAGTAGGACCACATACATATAATACAATTTATTTGGTGCCCTGTGCAGATTTTTCTTTGAGCTAGATCTCAGAATCTTCAGAATAGACTTTGGAAGCTATAGAGCTTATATCCACATGATGGAAGTGGTTGAGTCTTTGAACTGTTTACATAGCCAGTCTAATGCTTCTCATGAAAATAAGGGGGAGGATTTGCCATAAGACCAGGATGAAGAAAATAATAATGTTGGCAATTTTTCTTCTGCACTTCCGATATTGAGGAGGATTTCTGGTGTGAATTGAGACAAAACATGGCAGAAAAAAATCTCGTTCTAGACTGGCCAATATCTTTCCCAGCAAGGAAACAGTTCACCATCTGAAAGAAATTTTTTATGCATCTATTTACTGAACTCAGAGCCTGCAAAGGCTCACGAATCTGTGGGAAACCTATTAAATATGTATTGGAATTATCCCATCGATGCAAAACCAATGAGTTTCTTTATATTTTAGTATCTCTTTCAAACACATTTCTGTCACCAAAACAAAAATTCTAGATAATAGAGTCTTAATATCAAGACTGTGGTAAAATGTCAACAAAAATTGTGAATTATTTAATACAGAGCAGATAGTTCTGGACCATTTCTGTTGCATAAAGGGCATGCCAGTTAGCTGCACAGTGTGAACATAGTTAAAGTTATACTTGTGTTTCTCCTCTGAAGGCCTAAGAAAAAAATAAAAATATTATATGTGATCTTCTGCAGTTATGTTCTGCCAATTAAAAAGCCTTTTTCATAGTGGTTTTTTTCATAGTAATATAGATCAGAGCTAACTGTGCTTGGAAGGGTAAGATGAAAATAAGGGCTTGAGGATGCAGTGTGTGATACTAGGTGTGAAGTTAGGAGCTAGCACTGTGGGGTTTTGAAAACCAAATTTGAAGTGTGTCAGCCTTTTTAAGTAATCCTTTTCAGGTTATCAGTCATGGCTTGACAATACTTGGATTACATATCCAACACCTACAACAGTAGTGTAAACTAAGCTTTGGTTTATGCAACTAAAGATTTTAGTAATGACTTGCTGGAGGTATATTTATCAACAAGATAAGATGATGTCACAACTTCTAGAATTACAATGCCAGTATTAAAATCTTGGCAAGTACTGACTTGTTGGCTATCAAATATACCAGTTGGGGGTTTCAGACAAGAAGTTGAGATCCTGATTATTGAGCTTCTCTTCAATATTCTATTAGGTGTACTAATATGAGAAACTCCTTTATTTTCCTATGCGTGTAAAGTGAACAGGTTTTTGCGTTTGCAAGTTTGGGAAGAAAATGTGGATAAGATTATCCCACCACAACAGGTAGATATCCTACTTCCTCCTACTCTGAAATGTCTAGTCCTCAGAGAAGTTGCTATATTTTCCAGTCCTGTGGTGTCGAGCAATGAAAACTTGCAGAGTTAGGAATGGATTAGATGTCCCAAAATGTTCTGGTTTTCTATCAGACTTAGGTCAGATTCTTTTCAAAAGGACAACTTATCAAATTTATTTTGGTCAAATCTGTCTATATTGAAAGTGGTTGGATGGTTTTTTTCCATTCATGCTTAAGAGTGAGTAATTAGCTGATGAAATTTAAGTCTTTTAAATTAGAGAATTGAGGAGGGGGATATATGGTCAGATCAATAACAGGAGGAAAGCCTGTTCTGTTTTGTGCATGTGTTTCAAGTTAACCCTTTTCTCCAGCTGTTGACAGAGGGAAATAACATCTCTCTTCCACCTCTGTGTGGGGGCAGTGTATAATATAAAAATGGACTTTTAAGAAGATAGCAGCAGATCAGAGTGGTGGGAGGCAGCCTTGGGGGTTTTTGTGTTGTTTTCCTGCTGAAAACACACACCCAGTCCCATAATTTGCTACAATGATCTGAACAAAAATTCTAGCACCTGTAGCTTAAATCAGTAGGCCAGGCTTTTTATTCCTGACTCCAGTATCTGCTCATTAGAGAACCTAGAATTATATTGTTTTTGTTGTGGCTCCGTGTCTAAGAGCACAGCAAATCCATTATTCATAATATCTTCCCAAGTTCACAAAGCCATTGAATAGTGCTGCATATCTCCTTAAAGCTGCCACCCACTCAAATCCATTTTATTTGGACAAATAAAGAAACTCTGCACTGAAGAAAACCAATTTGAAAACACACTGAAATTCATTTTCCTCACTTAAATATTAAAGTGCTTATATTTATTGCGTTTCAGCCATGTTGTACTGTTTTCAAAAAGGATTTGCTCATTTAATAGGTCTAACGGAATTTCAGTAAATTTAAAATATGGAAGAAAATAAACTAAGGTATGACAAGAGTAACACTGCTTTTTGTGCAGTGAATCTGCACTCTGTAGATTAAACCCATCCATTAATATTCTGTGTAACTGCATACTAATTTACAATACCACAGCACTGGCCCAGGCTCTCGTGGTTCTCTGCACTGTTGCAACTGACTGGTTTTTTGTTGTTGATGTTTTTTGGTTGTGGTTTTTTTTTTAAATAGTTTTGGTTTTTTTAAATAGTGTTTTATTTGAAAAATGAGAAGGACTGTTCCTGGTTTGCAATACAGTAATAAAGAAAGGCTTCTAACATTCTCAGATTTTTTAATTTGAGACTGTGAGGTTTTTCTTTATCTGACTCTTTTGATAAAGGCATTTTCTTCCATATATATATCAGAATATATATATATGGAATATATATATATACCTGGTAGTTTATGCTGTGTGTATACTTTCTGCTGCTAATTCATTTGTGTGGTGTTCAGGCAGCACAGCTTGCAGAAACCCCTTTACGTGTGCATTGACCAGTGTAAGTTATCCATGTTGCTTACAGGAATCTTCCTGAATATGGGTTGGGATTAAGCTGTAGGGATTTTAGTCTCATCTCACATAAGAAAAATAAATTCAGAAGCTGGTGGAATTAAGTTATGGAATACTGGTACTGCTTTCTCTATCATATATGGAATTTCATCACTATAAGGCGAGACCAGCAAATGGATTCTGAGTTAAATTAATGGTGGAGTTTGTCTTAGTTTGGAAGGTGGTTTTGGGGGGAGGAAAGTATTGTTGGGGGTTTTTTTTGAGGGCTGGATTCTGAGTTAAATTAATGGTGGAGTTTTTATTTGTTTGGAGGGTGGTTTTTGGGGGAGGAAGGCATTGTTGGGGTTGTTTTTTGGTTGTTTTTTTTTTTTGAGGGTTGATAGCTTAATTAAGTCAGTTTTATAGAAACTGTGTGGATGTAGTTGAGTTCTCTACCTTTATTTTGCTTATCTGCTATATAGTTCTTGTTTCAGTTTTTCCCTTTGGTCAGTAGTTTTACAACAGTTGGTTTTTTTGGAAGGCAGGCAAAAATTTTGTTTTAGAAACAGTGAAAACCTAGGTCATCCTTGGTGCAGCTTAATGTTGACTCTTAGCAAACAGAAGCCTGACTTCCTATTCTTCAGTGAGACAAGTCTTCTTGTCAGCTTCTGCCTAATTCCAGTAAAGCCATGTAACAAAGTTGTCACCTAAGCAGATGTTAGAGGGTGGGTTCCCATATTTTAATGTCCATGAAAAATTGGATCTTTAAAAGTGCCTGAAGGGTGGATGGAGAAGCTGTCAGAGCTTTGTGACTTTTGAGAATCCCGTTATGGATCTAAGTGATTATTTAAGCACCCAAAAGCTATATGAATCTGAGACTCTGCAATGCCAGGGAAGCTTGTAGATCTCATCCTAAATGTACAAATTTATAGAGAATATGGTGAGAGATCTCTACAGCATGAACTGGAAGAGGGGATTTAGATTTAGATGAGATACCAGAAAGAAATTCTTTGCTGTGAAGGTGCTGAGGCACTGGAACAGGTTGCCCAGAGAAGCTGTGGCTGCCCCATCCCTGGAGGGGTTCAAGGCCAGGCTGGATGGGGCTTGGAGCAACCTGGTCTGGTGGGAGGTGTCCCTGCCCAGGGCAGGGGGGTTGGAACTCGATGATCTTTAAGGTCCATTCTAACCCAAACAGTTCTATGATAGAAAAGTGAAATAAAGGAAGGGAATGAAAGAAGTGACCAATAAGTTCTTCAAGGTGCTTAAATGCACGGTAAAGGAGGGCTGAATATTGAATTTAAATGAATTGATTTTGATTGAATTTTCCCCACTATTTTATTTGAACAGCAGAAGCCTAAAACTGGACAATAACATGTTTGAATGAAACAGTTCTAACATAAGCATTAATATACACACACAAATTTCTTGGTAGGGATCCATCAAAATGCATGTTTATCTTTCAAAATCAACATTGGTACATTCTTGATGAGTTAAGAGACATCTGAATTTAGTTGTTCGGGGATAAAAAAGGCAGAAGTTTTACCTGTAAGATTTTTGTATTAAAAAGGCAAAAATAATAAAAACGTGGCAGCTTCCGCACTGACTGTGAAAACAGGACGTGGGTTCAGTGCTGATGTCAGCTGGTCTGATAATTGAGGATAACCCACTGTCACCAGGGAGCAAGACTTTGCTTATTCGGCTGCAGAACTGCTGAGCAGAAAACATGTTCCTACTAGTTCTGCAGTGTTTAATGTCGGCTTAAATGGTTTAGATCTATTTTATTATTACTGAGATTGCGCTTATCTGATTATCTGGTACCCAGATGCCTTGAGGGAGTAGGAGATAATTGTTTAATAAAATAAGGCTATGGTTTTCAATAAGTGATTTCTAGTGCTTCTGTCTTTAACTGTCCAACAAAAAAAAAATCCCTTAAGGAAGCTTGAGTTGCAGAAAGTGCTGAGCAAGAGTAAAAAGATAAGAGTAAAAAAATAATATAAGCACCACCATGTACCTTTCTGAACCCAAGTGCACCTTGCCCCTGGATTGCTGTCAATAATTCTGGGATAGATGATTATTCTTTCTGTATAGTGAAAGGGAGACCCAGGCATCTCAGAGGAAGACAAGATTGTGTTCTAGTTCCTGTCCTAAGGACTGAAATGGCATTTTATTCAATAACTATGAAATACGAGAGCTGACCTTGGAGGGGAATCGCTTTAGTTCTTGTCACTCCGAGTTCTGGTACCATTGGTCTGCAGAATTTTTTTTCTTCAGCTGACTGCACGTAGTCAGACTGGATGAAAAAGCTAGAAAGTTATAGCCATGAACAAAGGGTTTAATACATGAATGTTGACTTTCCTTGGGCAGAAGGAAGAATTAAACCTAGATTTTGAAACTCCATCGAGGAATCTAAGCTGTGCTCACCTGCATCGTGTTAGGAGTGGGTACCAATGCAGTGTATGTGGGGTCCAAAACCCACAGGTATGTGTTACAGATGTTCTGGGAATGCCCAGTAAGTTGAGTTTCTTAGAGTAGCGTTAACAAATTGTTTCTGACTGAGTTTAGGGTAAGAGAGATTACAAATTTCTAAATATTGTCAGGATAAAAATATTTTGGGCTGTTCCCAAACATAGGTCTTCTATTAATACTTTACAAGCAAGACCAAGGTTCTGTGTATCACCAAGATGGTCCCTGAAAAGGGCACTTGCTAAGATTTTGGATACAAGTTGCCTAAATCTTGTTCCTATCCCATGACTTTCAAAGTAATTTTAAATGATTTCAAACTTGGGAAAATGTATCCCTTTTCAAATGCAAAATAATCTGCAGTTGCATATAAAAATGCATCTCACTTCTGAAAATTTGGATTGTAAGTAACATGCTTCTGTTCAAACTAAAGTAGCTGAAATAAATTATCAAAGTTGATTTGGAGCCCAGTTTCAATGGAAAGTGAGCTTTTGCAACAGCTGTTGCCATGAGCTGAAAAATGCCTGGTGCTGCCAATGATTAGGTGGTGACTAGTGAGCTTTTAAAGAAACCTTGACAAGGTGCAGAGTTCAACTTGAGCCTATGTAGTAAAAGGTAATGAAGAATATATTACAATCTGGTATGAAAATATATGTGCTATATTGCAAAAGTTTTTAATGTTGGCAGGTGTTCTCTTGGCACTGCAAAGCGTTCCTCACCCTCCTGAAGTCAGAGCTGGCAACTGCAACCCTTTTTTCTGCTGTTAGGGTGGACATGGTTTGCTGCTGAGGCATTTGGGCTTCTCTGGCCTCCCTTGCTACAGTGACTCAGTCCAGAACAGCCACATATGAAAAAAGAAATATGGTTGATTAAATTTGTGGTGATCACTTGTTGGTTTCTCTGTTGAGAAAGCTATGGAGGTACTAATTTTTGTTGCTACTTTTAGGCCAAGTTTGACAAGTGATGTGTCTTCTGGTCCTGGTTCTTAAATGTCTTGGAACATTTAAGAAAATAATTTAATTACATGCTTAGTTCCAGATAGCATCTGTAAAAGATTCTACATCATCACTGTATTGCTTTAGAAATCACTCTGATCTTGTAATTGTGGATACCGTTCTTCCTGTACAATGACGCTTACTTGGGATGCACACTGTGATTAGAGAGGTTTAATTATATTGATATAAAATCATACTGTTAACAGGGAAAGGTAGAATAAAAAGACTGTAAACCATTCTTAAGTAGAGATCTTATGCCTTACTGTTTTATCTTTTCTTTTAAAAAAATTAAGCTTCACAACAAAAAGCCTTTGTCTGGAAGCAGAAAATAATGCAAATAATAATACCTCTTACACAACACTTCACTTGCTCAAAGAAATGTAAAGTAGAGAGGCTAAATCTTTGGTGTAATAATGAGCAGATTCATTATTCATGTATCAAGCCAATAAAAAAAGAAGTAGATTATTGGCGTGTACTATTAGTTTTTGTGAAAACCTTCTAGTGAAAGCCTAGGTAGAATATTATTAATTTAGTAATTTGTGCTCTTTACTCAAAAAACATACAAAGCTATTGACAATCATATTTATTATTCTGAGTGTATATCAAAATAGATCCCAGTTTTGAGTAGTATTTGAATAACTTGAAGAACATAATGTAGTTGCTTGTATTTCTTTTTTTTTATCTACTTTTGCTAGGTAGGTCTAACCAGACACGGTACCTGTAAAAGTCTTTTGTTCAGTAAAACCCAACCGACCACTCACTCACTGTGTGCCCTCTATGCAGAAACATGCTCAATAATCAATAGCAGAAAATAAGAGTTCTTTATTATTTCCCATGCTGGCATCAGGCAGTCAAGTCTATGTTCAACACCATAGCAACCGGTGTGTCCTTAAAACTTTGCCTTTTGTGCTTTTTGTCTGAGAGTATTTTTTCCTCAGTGATGTGTCTTAGTAAGCTGATCAGTATCTCACTAGTAGTGGAAGTTTCCACACACTCAATAAATACACAGCTTCTACTAAAATAATTGCAGTAGAAGCATTCCAGAAAAATAAATATAGTGCTATAATTGTCTTTTTTCCAATCATACATACTATGTTACATAAATTACAAGAAATTGAGACAAATAAGCATTTTAATCCCAAAGGTAAGTCATGAAGTTTTGTAACATCTTTCTCCTGCGTTTATAGAACACTATTTCAAGGACTGTGATTATTTGGCTGTTACCTAATTTCACTGCAGAATAGAAATCTGACTGCAGCATTGCTTTCTGCTCGTTAATTATAAATTTATTAGGGAAGTTTTGACCAAATGTCCCTCACTATTAGGCCTTGCTGAATCTGAAGTTCAAGCTATTAGACTTCATTTAATGTAATGCATTGTGCTCGTTTTCTGTTCTGCATGTGCTTTTTTTGTGGTTTTCTTTTTTTTGGTGTGTTCTCAGGTGTGTTCAATTTTCCCTTTCTGTTTGCCAGAGAGGCTCTTTCAAGTTATAGAAATAGGACAAAGTAATTTTTAGAACATCAAAATATGTAAGGAGGCGAGGTCCCTGGAGATGAAATAGATTTCCAACACAACACAACAAAATAGCTTTCCTGTTCTTTTTGGGTGTTGCTGTTGACTGAGTAGCTTGTTGACCACACACAGATGCATAAATGGTAGCAACGCTGTGCACCACTAGTGGAGGTGAAACCTCAGAATAAAGAAAGGCCATATTTGTATTTTGAGGTTTGCTGACAAGCTTGTGGGCACATCATGATGGACTTGCTTTTGGCCCACAGTCCTGCTCTAGGTAGATTTTAACACTTTTGTGGTGCTTGCAAAGATTGACCCCCAAAATACGTGGGATGGGACTGGGCTGGGGAACATTTAGTGTGCTCTGACCTCTGAAGCAGGGCTGGTGAAAGTTTTGTGGAGCGTTTCTAAGTTGGTGTTAAAAGAAAGCTGCCATGCTCAGATCAGCTCCTGAAAAGCTGATCAGCTTTCAGAGAAGAAATCTGCGCTCTGAAAAATAAACTGCTGCAGCCTTTCAAAGCCTACCAAGCAAGACAAAAATGTAACTATTCAATTAAATAGTCAATTTAAGTCATTTTAATTAAGAGAAGCAATTTGATCCATTTCAGAACCTCCGTGTTTTAACAGTACAACTCTTAAGTTCTCATATTTCTCAAGGATGTCTAAGAAAAGGATGTAATGGTATTTTATTGCAGACTTGTAAACTTGCTGAGTCAGATGAGTAATGTTTGTCTCTATACCTAGAAAATATTAATAAAACACTTATATCATGTTTGGGGTTCTTCCTTCCTTAGCTAAACCTTCCTAGTTGCTAAGCCTTTTGCTTTGCTTTTGGGAGGAGGAGGAGGAAAAGGACAGAGGAAGGGAAAGAATTACGCCCTTGAACTTACCGGTTAAATCCATACCGCTTCAGAGATCAGTTTCCTTTTACATGCTCAATTTACTGTGCACTAGACCAAAAGTGCGAGCTGTCAGGCTCCTGTGGTGATAAACCTGGATCTAATCCTGCTCCTACTGACAGCAGTGGCAAACCTTGTGTTGCTTTCAGTAGGAGCAGGACTTAGATACACCACGCTCCTTGATTCAGCTGGTTTTACCCACCCGAGCTCAAAGCAGCCTCTGATGTGAGTGATGACAGGAAGATTTAATACTTAATCCCGGCTTCTTCTCACTGAATTTAAAAAGTGTAACAATTAAAATTATCTGAAACCAACAATATAAAGTGATTTTACGTGATTTAATAACTCAGGAGTAACTCTGCAAACTGGCCCTTACTAGAAAAACCCTGACTTACAGCTTCTTTTAATTTGGGGCATTGCTCTTTGTTTTGCAGAGCGCTCAGATTGTGTTCCCTAAGTGCTGAGTACGAAGATAAATTATGCAGAGAAGGATTTAATTTATATTTTCTTTCTAAATTTGTAAATAGTGGAGAAGAAATGCTTAAATTTTTTACAGAAATAGTAGTAGCATTTACTTTAGCACTGCATTTTCAGTGTCCAACGCTATTTTGAAAGAGGGCACAAATTAATGTTCACAAATTGAAGAGAGCTTCATTTTATTGAAGGTAAGTAGTAATTGAACAAAATGGCACATATTGACGGCATTGTACTGGCATATTTCTTTTCAAAGACAAATGTACTTTGTAGAGTAAGTGTCCTCACATGTCAATGTCTTATAAAATGTGTTACATTTAGTGAAATAATGAGTCAAGAGAAAAAATCGTCATAAATAATGGTAGGCATTTTTTACTGAAATACTGGTAGTTTTACGTTTTTGACATGAATAATTGTGTGTGTCATATGTGAAGCTACATAGAAATAAAATCAAGGTCATAAAATGTAAAGACATGAGAGGATGCATTTATAACAACATAAACCAAACTGGCATTTTAATGTCTTAAGTCAGCCCATTTGCCATATTTGCCCATTGATCTTAGCTGGAAAAGCTCTGTGCCTAATTTAAACAGATTTTGGAGATAAAGCCATAGAATGGGAAAGGGATAGGACTTGATTTTGTTAATAGTATTCTCTGTTGCACTGTTAAAATTATATCACTGTAACAGGACTGGAGGCTGGTTGTTGTGTGACCTTCCAAAACTTCCTCAGAAATGTTGTGTCCACCTTCATAGCAGGTGACTTGCTGGTGCTGTGTACCTCGACATTTTACCTGCTGGTGGCTGCAGGTCACACAGAAGGATTTTATTCAATAGACATGAGACAGGGTTTAGTTCAGTGGTTGTTCTGTGGGAAAGATAGTACGGTCTGAGAGTGTTTGTGCATTGTGTGCTTTGGAAGGCACGTAAAAAGATATTTGGGAGAGGCACTGACTCAAAAATACGTGCTTAAAATCTCATTAATTTAGATGGACTGTGTAGGTGCTTTCACTTACCATGCTTGAAATGAGCTTTAATATGGCACGGCAATAAATTAAGTAACTATGACTACCTAACTAATAATTGAAATGGTATCACCTCCCGCCCCCCTCAATTTTTCCAACTGAAGCTTAACATAGAAACCACATAATTTTAAAAAAAAAGAAAGGAGGCAGAGTTTGTCCTGTTTTCATAGGATTGCTAGTAAGCATAGGTTGTATATTGGGTGTTTTTTCTTAAAACACTTTTGAATAGCAAAAGAATTGGCAATGTGTAATCTCTGTGTTTGCCCTGGTTTGCTGTGTGTCTTTGGAAATCAGTACTAAGCTAGTGTGGAGCGCTGCACATCGTCAAATGCTTTGTGCCCTATAAATGCCCACAAAGCATTACTAAAGGGCCCTATGTTGCCCTTTAGCAATAAATATGTACCAGGTAATTATAAAATGTTCCTCTCGGGGCATGCCAGCTTGTTGTCCTTACTGAGTTTTAACTCTGTGCAGACAGGGGAGTATACAAGGTAAGAGAAATCTACTCAATATGCTCAATATGTGTATTTTCTTTCCAATTATTGTACAGTTGATGAAATATCTAACTAGTACATTATTTGGCTGCAATTGTACGTTAGCGTAGAGATGGCTGTTAATATTCGGTGAAGTCTTCTGTAAGTGGAAATGTTTCATATTTTCTGTTTTCAGTGTAGTTTTACCGAAAGCCCTTTTGAATTTGAACCGTTCTGGGATGTGATTCTTAAAAGAGAAGTCTTTAAAAACTGAGCAGGTAACATTTTCCCATGACTGTTGAGCTAGTGATATAGATAATGGCATGATTAATTTAAATGCCAACATTCATGGTATAGGTGTGCTTCTTGTAGCTCTAGCAGTCTGTCCATGTTGGTTTGAACCCGTTAAGAAAAATTGAAACCTGGTGAGGTAGAATAAAGGCTGATTTATTGATTGACGTCATTACTTTACCTGCTATTAAGGTAAGGGAAATTGACTTTGTAGAGAAAAAGAGAACACTGAGGATAATTAGGCATCAGTCAAGAAAATGTGTTAACTGGTGTTTTATGTTGAAAAAGTAGTAATAACACAAGTAAAGGATGAAGGTTGGAATTGCTGTCCTAGAGGAGGTTCAGAATACAATCTGCAAAATACTGAACTACTGAGCAGTATTTCTACAATGGATTCATTTATTCAGGACCTCTCTTTCTGTCTCTGGATCTAAGCAACAAGAGTACTGCAAGTGCCTAGCCAGCTAGATGATTCCCTCTCCTCAACAAAAATGTTCAGAGATGGTGAAGCCCATATCCACAAGACTGTGTAATCCTAATGAGGAAAAAAAAAATTAGATAATTAATTTTACTACAGATCTATTCTAATGTAGACAAACTTGAACCCTTAGATAGAAATATAAGCTCCCATGAAAAGCAGGGGGATGCTGTACCCTTCGTATCAACTTCTTTTTTGTGGAAAAAGAACATCTGAATAAAATGTTCCCCTCTCCAGCCAAAGATAGCTTGTATACAAGGCAGTCTCGCTGAAATTATATCTCAGCTGGAAGGAAAGATGAGTTTATTTTATGTAGCAGTTGGAGGTTCTTAGAAATATCAGTCAGTCAGTTACCAGAGTGGTAAATTAAATCTTGAGAGCCAGAGCTCACTCATCAGTACACAATGATATGGAAGTGGCAAGGAGAGAGACAGACAACTGCATCAGGTCTGAGTGTTTATGTTCTTGATGGAAAAATACAAATCATTTCCTTCCCTTCTGCTGCTGTCATGGTCCATCACTTTAGTCCATTTTCACCTTGCTAAGGGATTCTGAATGGGCCTTCCTGCTTTGGCACCTAATTAATCTCTCACAAGTCTGTTCTTGCAGCCTGTCTGCCTGGGATGGTCTATATCTTATGTCAGTGACTCACAAATAAAATATTCTTTTTTACTTTACATTCCTTCCTTTTTCTGTGTTCTTTCCCCCCAAGCCTCCTCAAGCAGGTCGAAGATGGTGTTCTCCACCTGCCTTTGAAGAGAACATACACACAGCCTGTTATTACAGGAAAACATCCCCTTTTCCTCTAGTGCAACACTGTCACACTGTGGTATGTAAAGTTGTCTATGTTTTCAAAACTAGTAAGTTTTGAAGCCAATAAAAATACAGAGCAGAATTTTGCTTGTCAGAAACTGTTCAGCAACTCCAAGTCCTCACAGTGTAACAGGCAAGCAGGAAAACATTGGTCACTTTTCAGAAATGGCATATCTATACACAAATAAAAGTACATGATCTGAGATTAAAAAGGCCTATTCGGTGGCATAAAACATTACCATGAGTCTATGAAACAAAAAATTATTTTCCTGGAGTTATTTTATTGTCCTATATCAAGTCATCATGAATATTGGGTATCTTGTGCACCAAGCTCTAACAGCCACAATACTTTATGACTAGTTTAAAATGAGTCCTTGTGATAAAATAACACATGTACTTTATATAACAGATAATACTGAATGGTGTAATGTATTATCTATAATAGAAAACCATAGATTCTGTAAAATGATACCAGTGGAATCTAATATTCCTTTGAAATAATATTTCCTGGGTAGTATTTCTACTCGGAAGCAACTTATCTCCCTTCTAGTATCCCTTCTGTGGGGAAAGGCTTGGTGTTCAGCTCAGCACAGCGTATGCATTTCAGTCTGGGAAATGGAAATGCATTAAAAGAGGTCTGAGAAGTCACTTTGTTAGATGAGTGATCAGGGTAGTGTCCATCAAAACCCTTTAGCTTTACTGGCCTGTGTCTGATCTGCAGATACTGATCTGTGCTGTTGATACAAAACCTGCAAGAGCTCTGAGAGTCTGCTGGTGACATAGAGGCAGGAAGAAATGGGAGGGAAAAAAAAAATCGTCACATCTTTAATTCCCCCTGCTGACAGCTTCCTTAATAAATATTGTAAGAAATTTCTCAGTTAAGAGCCACCCGGTAATCTAATTTGCAAGCCCCAATGATATATTCAGCAGCCAGCTCAGGGGAGGTGTGTTTCTGCTGTCAGAATCACATGAGCAGGGAATAAAATTCTGAGCTGTCGCTGAAAGCTGTAATAATTCATGATGAGTTGTTGGCTTTTATTTTTTCATACTATTTTTGACTCAGCTGAACAAAGAGACTAGAACTGCTACTGACTTTACGTTGGTTAGGTTTTTCCATCGTATGCTCACCTACCTGAATGTTTTCACAGGATATAACAATACAAACACCGCAAATTCATCAAGTTTTACATGTATCTAAAGAAATCAGAGACTCAAACCTGTATCAGCATGGATGACTCTTGTATACAGCCATGAGTGGTGAATGCTCGCTCATTTCAGTTGTCTACCCTCTTGACGTGCTTGTGTGGGAGTTGAGCCTTTGCCGTTCTGTTTAGATTTAATAATCCCAGATTTGTTTCTTACCTTCTGTGGGCTCCTGGTGAGGCATCCTTGGGCTCTTCCTTCTCTTCTCCTGGACTCTGGTTTAAGGAATGTTCTGTTCTAGTGTGCATGCAGAAAACAAAACCCAGAAAGCTTTTATAAGATCATAGCTGTATAGCCAACTTTGGGCTGTTTTGTGAGGGAACTGATTCTCTACAGCAGTGTCACAGTGGTTGTGTCTCTGTTCCTTACGATGGGAGAAACCTTCTGTCTTGTGTTCCCTCTGTATCAGGTTGATACCCTCAACTGAGAAGGATCAATAGTGTTGTCTCAGAAATTAACTCATTAAAAGATAAGAAAACAAAAAAAAAATATCTCTAGGGTATTACTTCATAGCTGATCAGCTGGGAGAAATCAGGATAGTTGGAAATCTTCAGCGTTGGAAGAACTTCCAGAACCATGTCATAGGGTAATTCCTTTGGAGCTGTGGTCAGTTCATGGTAAAGACCTCGATGCTTGGGTTTCACCTCTGTTTCCTCACATCTGCTTTAAGAACTTACAGCTTATAATGGCTAAGGGCTCACCCATAGAGAGAGACCTTCTTCAGGGAAAAGGCCTTTTGGGTGTCCACAGTGAGAAGACTTTACCCTCAGTGAAGAACATTAGTTTCTATAAGTCTTTCTGCAGATCTTGAGAAGAACATCAGGCTGCCAGCACTCTCTGGCTTTCTTCAAGGTGCAATTTATATCATGGTGCTATTGATTTCTTAGACTCCCTTTGCAAGCAAGAAGGAAATGGTGCCGTCCCTATCCTACCTTTTCATCCATGTTCCTTTTAAATTCTGTATCAACAGGGCTTTTGAGATGCACCCAGGAAACCTAAGGTGGTGCTTTCATTGTTGGTCCTCACAATTCATTTTTTTAAAATCTGTTTCTCCATTTCTTTTTAGCTTCCCACTATGGCTTTCATTACTGGGAAGCAAACACTAACTGGTTTGGTTTTTTTTATTTTCTCTGCAGTGTATTGCTTGGGTGATGAATAGCTTTCAAAGCTTGTTTTTTCTGAAGCATAGCTAGGAAAGATACATGAAATGCATTACTAATTTACCTAAACTTTTCTCTTGTTCTTATTACGCTGAATGGCAAGTGCTGTATTTCTTTGATTTTCTTTTACAGTAAGAGATACAGATCACAACATGTGGCCATATAGATTCAGTTAATAGCATTGAGTTTCTTCCGTTGTCCAGCACTGTCCTCATTAGCTCTGCTGACAAGACTTTATATCTCTGGGATGCTAGAATGGTAAACAGTCTTTTTCTTGGTCTTTCTTGAATTCAAGTAAAGTGATGGCTTGTTCAGTGTGAGAAAAACAAAAGCCAGGGTAAAATCGAAATAGAAAATAAGGGTGATTTAGCAGTAGAGTGTTCACTAACACAGTTATTATCTCGTGACCAAAAATATCACCGTATAAAGTTTCCTTGACGTCTGAAAGGACTGAATCCTCACAGTGCAACAAATGGACATGCACCGAGATCACTGACTAAACAGGAGGACTTAATTAGGTGGTGGTGATGGTTTTAGCAACTGCTGGTCCGGGTCTGGAAGCCTGCATTGCTGCAGCCTGTGCTGTGTCAGTTCAATAGACAGAGCCACTCAAGGTCAGTTTTGTCAGGCTTCTTTTGTACGTGCCGGCATGTGCTTTAAAGTACATATAAAAGTAATGGGGGAAAATGCCATAGAAGTAACACAAGCTGCATAGAAGTCTAATATATTTATTCTTTCTCTAGAAGGGCTTCCCGCTCCCCCCAGCCTCAGAACTCACTGCTGATTTCTGTATGTGTATTATTTTCTCCTTAATATACCGCTGTAGGTAGTGTCAGAAACTCTGCGTCTCTTCTTTATTCTTCTCTACCTTCATTCTTTGGTACAGTTATAAACGGATTTAGTGCATTGGAGAATGTATCTTTCCCCTGCTGCTTTGCAGACCAAATATGTAAATCCTGTTCAAGTAGAAGACAGGAATATAGTGCAAGAGGAATTTCTTTCTCTTTCAGCAGAAAATTCAATAATTATTGCTGCTACTGTGGTATTTCTCATAGAGCAACTCCTGAAATTCTCAAGTTGCTACTTCGGTTGGTATTCTGGTCACTTTGCATTTCTCAAAGAGTGTAAAGATGCAAGAATCTATCCCAGATTAGAGGAAGTTGTATTCGTGGAAGGGATTTGAGAGGAAAGAGGCAAAGAGCTATTGCTGTGTATTTATAGGTATTGTCATCAGAGCTGTACAAACTTAGGGTAAGAAAAACTGACATGGAAATGACAGTGCAATATTTGAGATGCTCATTAGGGAATTTCTATTTATGGATCGTAGAAACAGACTGAATAGAAGGTCATTTAATAATAATCCTGGACATAAAGCAAAACAAGTTAAAATGAAGCCAGTCAAGACTCATTATTCTTAAATGTGTTGGTTTGTAAGAATATTTGATATCCAAATATGAATAATTCAAAAAGAGAAACAAATATCGAAATACAAACAAGTGAAAAACTGGATGGAAAAATAGATTTATGCTTTGTTTTGTTTCCACTAAATCCTGCAAGGAACTTCCTCTTGCAAATGTCTCAGTAATCTCCTGTTCATAGTAAATTAACAGAATTATAAAAGTGTTTTTCTTTGATAAACTTACAGAAAAAGCCTACTCAGTTTTTGTTCACTGGTGCTGCTTTTCAGCTTTGGCTAATTTTGTTAAGATAGGAAAGATGTTTTGTGAAAAGAAAACATTTCACATGTCATTTTGTTTTGTATTCATTCTGTTGAATTGTTTCCCTATTCAGTGGGAAACACTGCAGATTTCAGATACGTGCCCACACTGAAGCATCACTTTAAGTGGTGAAATCACTGGGAAGATGCTGTCTCCCTCTAAATACTGAATGATATTCAATGTTCCCTCCAAAAAGATGAATTATTTTCTCCCATTAATTTGGAACAGAGTATTTTCTCACCTCTGTGAGATCAATTAGCATTAAGGAGTACATTTAAGATAATTTTACCGAAACATGAAAATCATACTCCAGTTTGTTTTCTCATAAATTAGATTCATGTTATTAATCACATCTTGCTCTTCAATCATTAACTTTAGTCAGCTCTTTATTATTAAAGATAATGGATGCAGAGAACTGTAAGTCAAAGCAGTGCAAGTTGAATGGACAATGAGCTCTGGATTTGGGACAGAATGGGACATAAATCTTTGTAATTACTAAGATGAAGCTATAATACAGCCCTTCATGACATTACTTTTTTCTTTTTCTTTCCCTTTTTTTCTGGATAACGTAGGATCAGATCTAGTGGTTTAAAACTTTTTTCTTTTTCTTTCCTTTTTTTTTTTCTGGATAAGATAGGATCAGATCTAGTGGTTGAAGAAAATCTGCAGATGTAGTTTCTGCCTGCAGGGAAATGAGAACACAGAAGGATGAACAGTATTTAGATGATTATGGATCTTTCCAAACGTTCTGGGAGAAAATATGGAGTTGGTGTTGGATTTGGATGGGAACCCCCTCATGCCATGCTGACTCCCGGTGGATAAGATGTATGAGACTGAGGCTGCAATTCATCTGTAGGAATTTCTTGCCAGTAAAGCTGATGGCTCTCGTGCCAAGATAAGCTGCAGAATTTATTTCTCTGTATGCCAGTTTCATAGAAAGACAAGCATATTCTGGCTTTTCACCAGAATATTTTCTTGCTGACACATCAGAGTGAGCATCTCTGCTCATGAATTGCAAAGTGTGTCCAATGATAAATGTGAGAGGTGCAGAAGAACGTTAAGACCCCGAGAGTACGAGTTCACCTGCCTGGGTTAATTCTGATGATAAACAGTCTGCCATTCACCTGCATCCCCCACCTTCTGAGGAGTAATTTTTTGGGCTAGTCAGATTTGTCTGGATAACATTTGAGCCAAGCTGAATCTTTGCTCTTTCTCGGATGAAATGCCAAATATTTATACACTTAAATAATTAAATAGAGGAAAAAAGTACTCACAGTTTTCATTCTGCATGCTTGAAACTTATTGATTTAGTAACTATCCCATCTGCTTTCTGATTTCTGAAATGTCAGGTTCTATAACTGGATATTTCATTTTTCAAGAAGTTGTCAGTGACTGTCATTTAGAAGTCAGCATTCGGTAGCAATGCCCTAAGGAATGTGTCCGACAAGGACTTGGAAAGATTTCTGTGTGTCCTTAACTGGACAGTCCCATTCACATGGGTGATACTATTCTTGTGAATTAAGTTGAGCACACGCACAGCTCTGTAAAAAATTAGATTCCTACATTGCTCTATTCTTCTATTTGATTTTGTGAAATACTTAGTATTTGAGATACCGTTTGATAATTGTTGTCCATTTTGGTCTCTACTGATCACTGATACTCAAGTGCTCGGAGTTTTATTTTTTAATTATCCAGGATATATTCGTGACTTTATGCAATATTGCCTAGTAAATTAAGACAAGCCCTATTTTTCTGCATTCCTTTTGCAGCAGACTGCTGGCATATAACACAAATGAAAGGATCCCATTCCCACCCCTCGATCAGACTAACATCCCTGACATCCAGACAGGAAGGCATCAGGCATGTCAACTTCTTACTGTTTGGATCAAAGATGACTTAAATACAGGTAAGACACCTTCCACATTCAGCCAGGTGTGTCTCTTCATGGGCATGAAGAAATTGTTTCTCTCTTAGCTCCTGGAAATCGTTCATGAGTGTGGTACAGCCACACTTTATACAGTAGGGCAAGCTGGACTTTTATGGCCACATTACACAGAGAGAAAGACATTAGGAAGACGTAGTCAGTGAAAAGAATGAGAGGCAGCTGGGTGTTCCTTTAGGGCGGGTTTTTTTTCTTTAAATGTGGCATTGGATAAAGAAGAGTCTTAAGTACAGCCTGTGCTAAAGCGTTATTTCCTAACAAATTGAGGCTTCTGTACTCATGGTGTCTGCTTACCATTTTCTGCTTTTGAATGTTAGCCAAGGTTTGATAAAGTATAAGTTTTTGTGGAGTCGTGTCTCTGGGCAACAGCAGGGAAACCCAAGTGAATGCCCCATCCGGTGGGAGAAGCAGCAGTGGGTGCTCAGCCCTCCTGTCAGGCTCTGCTTTTCCTGTCGTCCACAGCAACGTCACTACCCTTGTTCTTCAGAGGGCTTAAAGATGGTGGTGGTAAGATACTGCCTGGGACTTCTCTTTCTTGGCTTTTCATGATCTGCCCCACAGAGTTTGAGATCCTGAAATGATCTCTCTGTGAGTTCACAGAAATAGCAGAGCAAATCCCCAGGAATTTGGGGCGGTGTAATTTGCATTTTTGCGGCCTTGCATTTAAGGCATACAGATCATTTCAGGACAGTGGCTGTTTAAAAGGACTTTTCACACTGTGTCCTACCAGAGAAGAAATACTTAGGTACACCAGTTTTTCATCTCTCTGCTAAGGTTGCCAGCTGTGGTGCAGCATTTTAATGATGTAGGCTTAGCTGCTTATGTGTTTCATATGGATGTAGAATAATTACAAGGATGCTGATCTAAGCTCCAGTCTTGCAGTTTTTTCCTTCACAATACAGCCCATCAATCTGCACGGTGTGATGTCCATGGCATGGGACATCCCTACTGCGGTTCCTGTTACAGCTGGATTGTGCCTGAAAGCTAGTTTGCTTGATTAAATTTGGTGGAATTGTTCCAAAATGGTCATTTCCTCAGATAACCTTTTTTTTCTTTCTTCTAATGAAATTATCTTTTAGACCACTTACTTTTTCAGTGCCTCTTTTGTCAGAATTTAGTAATTTTCAAATTAGTAATTCCCTAAAATAAACTGCCCTGGTTTTGTTTCTTCCAGTGAGATGTAAATTATCCTTTGGACTAGTTGTTTTTCAGCATGGGCTTGGGTTTCACCTCTGTTTCCTCACATCTGCTTTAAGAACTTACAGCTTATAATGGCTAAGGGCTCACCCATAGAGAGAGACCTTCTTCAGGGAAAAGGCCTTTTGGGTGTCCACAGTGAGAAGACTTTACCCTCAGTGAAGAACATTAGTTTCTATAAGTCTTTCTGCAGATCTTGAGAAGAACATCAGGCTGCCAGCACTCTCTGGCTTTCTTCAAGGTGCAATTTATATCATGGTGCTATTGATTTCTTAGACTCCCTTTGCAAGCAAGAAGGAAATGGTGCCGTCCCTATCCTACCTTTTCATCCATGTTCCTTTTAAATTCTGTATCAACAGGGCTTTTGAGATGCACCCAGGAAACCTAAGGTGGTGCTTTCA